GAGGGATGTTCAACCCTGGATGATGGACATTGTTCCCAGTTTGAGGCTGGGTGATAAAATTTGTAATAATTGTAGAATGGACTTGGGGAAATTGCGGAGGGGGGTGGAAGAAGAGTTCGACGATGATTCAGAGGCAGGCACAAGTGCCTTTGAGGAAAGCATGACGTCTCAAGCGGAAGCTGCCTCGGCAATCGAGAGCATCAATTCAAGTCTGGCAATTATGGGGGAATCTCCTGTTTCAAACCAAAAAATTGTAAGTCACAAAAAATATCCTCAAAATAAATTCAACAAAATTACTCGCGTTTTAAAAAGAAAATTATTTAAATTACCCGACGAGAGTGATGAAGAAGACCAATTTGAATGTGAAATCATCAGTCAACTCAAAGAAAAATTTTCTGGATCTGAATCAAGAAGTGAAAAACTTCAAATTCTAACTATTCTTCCGAAATCTTGGACAGTTAGTAAAATTGAAAAAACGTTCAACACCACCAACTACACTGCTCGTTTAGCGAAGAAGCTTCAGGCAGAAAAGGGTATTTTAGCAACTCCAAACGTAAAGATTGGCAGGATTCTATCGGCAGAAATAGAGGAACAAATAAAAAAATTTTTTGAATCAGATGAAATAAGCCGTGTTATGCCCGGAAAGAAAGATTTTAAATCCCTTATAATAGATGGGAAAAGGGTGCATGTACAAAAGAGACTAATATTGTGTAATTTAAAAGAAGCTTATGCACAGTTTAAAGGCGAAAATCCAGGCATCAAAGTTGGATTTTCAAAGTTCTCCTCACTCCGGCCGAAGAATTGTGTGCTTCCAGGTTCGAGTGGCTCCCATGCAGTTTGCGTCTGCGCCCAACATCAAAATATGAAATTAATGATGTATGGTGGGAAACTAGCTGAATTGACAAAGAATTTTGAAGTTCCTTTAACGTCTTATAAACATTGTCTTGCTAAAATAGCTTGCAATCCTCCTAGAATTCAGTGTTTCTTTAAAGAATGTGAGGAATGCCCCGGTGTAGAGGGGCTAAAGAAAAGTTTAGAGAGAGCCTTTGAAGAAAACGAGATTGATGAGATATCCTACCAGCAATGGGTGACAACTGACAGGGCAAAGTTGGAGGAAGTTACTCAAAATTCTGCAGATTTTTTAGAAGCATTTGCTGACAATTTGAGGAACCTACTTACGCATTCATTCATAGCCTTTCAACAGGCCGCCTTTTTCAAGGAAAAAAAAGAAACGCTTGAAAACGGAGAGTACGCAGTGGTATTAGATTTTGCTGAAAATTATAGTTTTATTCTTCAAGATGAAATACAAGGCTTCCATTGGAATAATGATCAGGCGACCATACATCCGTTCGTAGCATACTATCGTCACGAAGAAACGCTGCAGCACATCAGCTACATAATAATTTCTGACTGTCTACGCCATGACGCAGTCTCCGTGCATCTATTTCTGGTAAAATTAATATCATTTTTAAAGGCTCAATTTCCTAATAATGTCAAAAAGATATACTATTTTTCTGATGGTGCTGCAAGTCAGTACAAAAACCGTAAAAATTACAGCAGCCTTTGTTCCCACTCGGAAGAATTTAATGTGGAGGCAGAATGGCATCATTTTGCCACCTCTCATGGCAAAAACGCATGTGACGGTGTAGGCGGCACTGTTAAAAGACTCGCTGCTCGTGCAAGCCTGCAACGTCCATATAATGAGCAAATAATGACGCCCAGACAATTGTACGACTGGGTTTCTACTAACATTCATGCCATGAACTTTCAGTATGTTCTAAATTCAGAGTATGAAATGCATTGCGAACTCCTTCATGAAAAATTCAATTCTTGTCAAACAATTGCGGGCACACAAAAATTACATGCTTTCATTCCTATCAGCAACACAACTCTGCAGACAAAATTGTTTTCTCGCGCTGAGGAGGCAAGAACAGTTTCAATAACCGGAGAAAATTCTGAAGAGCTAACCCTGGGGATTGACGAAATAAGGGGGTTTGTGGTCTGCATGTATGGATCTGAATGGTGGCTAGCCTGCGTTTTGCAAACCTTCCCTGTCAACGATGAAGTTAAACTAACATTCCTCCATCCATCCGGACCAAATGTTTCCTTCTATTATCCATCAAAACCTGACATTTTGGAAGTGCCAATCTCAGACGTTCTAATGACAGTCGATCCAACAACACAGACTGGACGAGTTTATTCTCTATCAAAACAAGAATCTGACAATGCCTCCCTCAAACTGAAGAGAAAACTCAATCTTTAACAGTCTATCTGAGAGGTTTGCATTAAAGCTAACAACATTAAAGCTGATTGCATTTTTTCTTCTCTACGATAGGATCCTTTCTAGGCAGGTGGAGGGAAGGGGATGTAGATCCCCCTCCCTCCCCATGAATAATAAGACAACAAACCCTCATAATTGTGCATAGTCGTGAAAGAACCTCTCCTCAATTTAAGTGCAAGCTAAACTAGAAATATGGGGTCAAACCATCAAAAATCCGTGGAATTACCCATTTGCATGCACCGAAAATGAGCTAAAATTGTATTCAAAAATGAGAAAAAAATAGTTTCCATCAAGTCTCCAACTTGAAAATTTCACAGAACCTTCCTGAGGGTCTGCTGTACAAAATATGAAAATTTGACAAAAATCGAAGGGGGGGTGTTTTTTGCTACAGCCCCCCAAAGGTTTAAATTGGGGGGAACAGGCACCCCTTTTTTCAAAAATGACATAATTCATTCATTTTTCAATAGAGCAGATAAACAGCTTCAAAACAAGCTCAAGCTGAGCCCTGTAGCTTAATTAGAACCCGAGTTATGATTTTTTGAAATTCAAGGGGTTCACAGCCCCGGGGGTTTTTTTGCCATCTTTGAGCCCCCGTAACTTCGGTTCTATTGGTCGTAGAGAGCTGAAATTTTGGGATTTTCATACCATCATACGGATCATTATGCTCACCAAGTTTCATCAAAATCGAAGATGGTCATGAAAATTCACTGGTTGAGTTGACATGGAATGACCCAATAACAGTACATCATTCAAGTGTACTAAAGGATTCAACTGAAGCCTTAACACACGACTTTGATCCTTTAAGTAAGGAGACATTCTCATTTAAAGGAGAATTCGGCATTGATGCAAGTAGAGTCTCTCGCGATGCATTTAGAATAGCCCTCAGAGACCTGCTAGCATCAAGCATTGTTGAAGGGGATTCAAGTGAAATGTTGAAGATTAACTACTTTCACTTGAAGAACCAAACTTATTTTAATGCTGGCTATGTAATCAATTTAGCTATAATGCACACCGGACAAGCCGCAACATTTTTATCGCCATTGTTGCTTGACCTTATTTTTGCGGAAGACTTAGATAAAGCAGAAGTGCAGACGGGTCACTTATTGGACTTTTCAATCAAAACTGCTGTCCAAGATCTCCATAATGCACACAGTTGAAAATTTGAAGGAAGCCATTTCACAACACTTTGTTCTACAAGGATGTCTCCCTAAGATATTACGGATGTTGATTGCTGCACACTGCTTGAAAATCATGAGATCATTCTTATCTCCAACTTCTGCATGGACAAAGGGTCCAAGAGAATGATGGTTGTCAGGAGACGTTTCATCAAGAAAGAAGATATTTTTGTCACACCGTGTTGCAGCTCTCTCTTGAAAATTTTCATCGTTTCTAACTTGTCCCGCACAATCAAGGCTTGGCTCGTTGGTAGTATAGTATTTCAAAACTATCTAATGCCTTAGGCTGAGAGACTCAGGTACAGGAAGGCAGGGGAATTGTCCCGGATCCTCTAGGAACTATCGCAAGAGGAAGTGATGTAGGAACAGGTGCGCACTGGTTATGCCATCTCAAGCATTGATAGGAACACAATCCTTACCTAAGCCGGAGGAAAAACAAGATCTGTCAACTCCTGTCAAGATCTTGGAGCCAAAAAAAAAAATAGCAGGGAGGACTGTCTATGGTCAAGGGTATTCACGCACCTCCTTTCCCGAGTCACTTCTCAATCATGTACTTTGTGGCAAGAAGTCCTTACTGAAAAGCCCAACCCGGGGTGTGACGCGAACCGTGCTCATCGGATCTCTTGGCAACAGGGCGCTTCTGTTGGTGTCTAAAAATGGTGCCTTTCGGGATACCAGGCCACCTCCTGAAGTAAAAGGAGCCTTATCTGGCGTAGAGGCTGCTGGGTGGACCGTTAAAATCCTCCTTTACTCGTGAGAACAAAATGGAATTCTAAAACAAACCTCATTACAGTAAACGGGACCACCAGATTAGTTGCTCCTTATAAACGCCCACAATGGAGACAGGAAGCAAAAGGAACAACCTCAATAATCCACCACTCCACTGCCCAAGGACCATCACGGCGTTCCTAGTGCCATTGACAGGAATGACAGCTCTCGAAACGATGGCGGCCATGGAAGGCAAAACATGGTCGACAAATCAGCTACAGCCACACCCTGTATAAGCAGTACACAAGAACCCCAAACTGCTGCTGTTGACGTGTATCACCCGCAAAGGGGACCACAAAAACGGGAAAACAGGGCTGGACACAGGCGTGTCAAGCACACAATCCCTGCTCATACGTAATCAACCACAATTAGGTCAAAACAATTGTGAGCAGATACAAAGTATAGAGACAGGGAGGATATACTCTTATACTTGCGCAGCATTGGATATCATCTGAAGCGGCACGCTGCCGATGGTGACGGAAACTCTTCTGACGACGAGAAGTAGCTGACGTAAGTAGGTGCCCTGACAACAATCCGCTTTCCCCACATTTTAAAACATAGCAAAATAAGTATTACTTTTAGATTTCCTGAATAGGAAATTCCAGAGACGCCTTTTTTTTATAGACGTTGTTTTGGTGCAGACGTACACTGTGTGGACTAATTTCTGTAGACTGAATGGGCGTGGATTAATTCTGTGCTTAAACTTCATTCTACATAGACTTATAACTTGTAGACTCATTTCTACAGACGCAAAGTCAGTAGACTTTTTGCGGCAGACCTACAAACAGTAGACCAAATAATTGTAGACCTACGGACCTTTAACTGCTTTTAGGTAGAAGTCGATTGGGAGCAAGGTCCCAACAAATCATACATCAATATTTATCAAATTTCTTGCTTGTGTGTTTAATTGTTTTCGTTCTTTCAGAATCAATGAATGAAGTAAAACACTCTTTTATCAACTGATTTCTTTTCAGCGATAAAAATTGTCTCCATAAAATTCCTCTGATCAATTTGTTGTCTGGGTCATTTATTATTTTATATTGATAATTTTTTTTATATTAAATATCTTTCCAGTAGACAGGGAACTTCAGTAGCTTTCCTGAAATATTCCTTCAGGCGTAGATGTTACTTCCATGCTTCGAATTGCTTACATCATTCATTAATTTTGAAAAAAAAAACGAAGGAAAATCTATCATGCAACTGGGTGGTCAAGGGATGTATTCACAAACTTCCTGCATCCCTACACGCTGGATTTAGGGTCCCACCTACTTGCTAGATCGCTTCACAGAATTTTTTGCCGAGATAAAGAAGTGGTACGAGCAGGAACGCTACCTCTTTGATCCCATTGTTGACCCAGGCTTCACTCTGTGCTGTGTGAGCCTGATGGCCGAGCCTTTTCTGAGTCTCTTTCTTTCATGCTTCAACTTAATCGAGCAGACAGAACTTAATTTTATTCTTCATTTTGTGCAATGAATGGACACAAGTCAAAGAAAAACAATAGAATTACAGCTGGACAAGCCATGATTACAAAACAAAAGACAACTGAGGTAAAGAATTGTAAAGTACAGAATTCTTACGAAAATCAAACACCTAAAATGTCCGATTCTTCCCGGTCAAAAGAAAGAGGAACGGGAAAGAGGGGATTCCTCATCAGACTAGCACCAAAACTGGTTGATGAGTCAACCAATAGAAGACTACTAGGGAGCATCTCGCTTACACAATATCATTCAATAAATTAGTATAAAAACTTGAATCATGTGATATTGTGATTTTGACAGACAGAGCTCCAAAGATCGACAATCTAAAATAGCCGTATGAAGATTTGCAAAGTTTTCCTTCACAGAGAATAAAAATTTTGAAACACAAGCTCAAACACAGGCCATCTTCTAGTAGAAACAGCGAAAGTTGAGAAATTAGCAAAAGGAGAATACATGAAGGTTTGCTTGGCAACAAAAATGCCTCAACTGGATTGCAGAAAAACTGTTAGGAAGATTATCGATCACAGCTGCGCTTAAAAAAATTTTATGACCTTGACTTGATTGTTTTTGTGCTGATACAAAACTTTGAGGAGATTATGACACAACTCTCCTATTACAAAAAAACAACAACAAATTTATTGCCGCTGAATACAACAACAGTTCCTCTAGGTTGCATCATAACCATGGTTTCACACATGATTAGATAGTGGACCCACAAGTCGCAAAACTGTAGCGCCAATGGGCCATAAATATTCGCTCAGGAACAATTCAGGTTGGGCAGGACCTGGAATTTTCCTCGCGTAAAAAGAAACTAGCCATTCTTTGTCGAGCCATGTACGGTCAATTCAACTAACTTTTCCGCTTTTACCTTCATTTTTATCGTTATTTGTTTGTAGTGAAGGTTTCTTGCCAGGGCATTTGCACCAGGGCGTTAGTTTTTCATCGCAGGAAAGCCGAACGTTGAGTACAGTTACTGGAGCCGAGTGATCCACCAGGAAGGAGCGGGTCGAAACAAGGGAGTACTGAAGCGTGTTTAAGCCAGTGATTCTGTCCCTTTTGCGTGTGCTTTCACGCTGGTTGAAGCACTTCAAGTAGTCTCGTTTCCGTCTGGGATTGTGAAAGTGCCTGAAAAAATAATTACGATTGGAATCACATCTTTCATGACCGTCTGACAAAGAAAAAACCTAAGTCCATGGATGCAAAATTTTCATTAAATTTGGCAAAAAAATTAAGTTTCCAAGTTTGGATGGTGTATTTTTGCTGGTAAACACTTAAATTCTTATAACAAAAGACAAAGAGTTCCAAAATTCTGGGTCTTCAAGAAAATACGTATTATCTGAAGTTACTTACTTTCTTGATAACTTCGTGAAATTAATTCATGTAGATTTTAAAATTCTTCATTGAAAATAAGTCCTTAAAGAATTGGATTGCATTTTGCAAAAAGGAACCAGGAGCATTCCAATGTCGCTAAGATTGTGCCACTGTTTTCACCTTATCAAATATAAACTGATCACCTAAATAAGTTCTATCTTTACTCCCAATAAACTATAAATTCAAGCCAAAAATTATCCTTATACATTTAATTTTTTGCATGATTCCAGTGATTTTGTAGCAAAGAATGTAAGTTGCACAATCCAAGCAACATTGGAATGCTCTTGGTTCCTTTTTTCAAAATGCGATCCAATTGAACTCCAAACCAGACAAAGATTCAGTTAGATTGTGTGGATGGCTGTGTTTTTATCAGACTTAAGAGATTCGAGATTCTTCAGATTTCCCGTCTTTTGCATTAAATTGCCTGATTAGTCTCAGATCAGATGAAATTCCTGACAATCCTGTTTTTCAGATTTATGAAAACACTTGCTCAGACGTAAATGTTTGGAAATTAAATCATGGATACTGTTTTGTTTGAATTAAAAACCTTAAACTGTCATCAGGATATTTTTTGTCTGCAGAGCTCTCCCTGAGGGTCAGAGAGCTCTCCTTCCCTAACCTCTGATATTAGGACCGTTTTAATCAGTTAAAATCAGCAAATCAGCATCAAACATTGCCTAAATTTCTCCGATATTTTATTTATAAAACAGAGAACTCGGCAACACTTGAAGCTTGAAATTTTAAGAGCATATTCTTCATAATCTAGGGTGAACATTTCTCCAAAAAGCCTTGCAGAAGTACCTAAGTAAAAGATACATTTTGCGATGATTAGAGTAGTTGACAAACAAGAAAAATAATTCTAGATTACCTGAAAGTGTTATTAATACCAGTAGATAGATTTCCAGGGCGATGAATTGTCAAACCACCTTGTTTCAGGCGAACGTAAAATTCATCGTCTTCGAGGCCCCAGCCCCAATATTTGTTACTCATTCCATTCACTTGAATAAAGTGGTCCCTTCAAAAATGAAAAACATAATTACTTTTAAGTTAGGGTTCAGATAAGATAATAAAAAACTAGGAGAGTGACAAGGTCTTAAGTGTTTTCCAAATTTGGTTTCCTCTTTAGGTATCCTGAGCTTTTCATACGATGGTATGCAAATAGAGAGGACAATATCAATGTTAACACAATGCCGAAATGCGTATCTCGGCTTGTAGACTTCCTGTCATACTTCATTTTCTACATGGAGCACTAATGAATGCCATTCTTTGAAAACTTCATAGGCTTTTTTTGGACATGTGAGGATTATTCTTTGAAAATTTTAAGAAGTCCTGTTGGTTTGGTCTTCTCTTAAAAAATAAAATAGGAGCAGAGATTTTGAGACACTGCAATCTAGAGCTGCATATTGACAGTTTCATGGTCCAAATGAGTAGTACATGAGAGATCCAGCCACCTGAGCGAAATGCTATGGGGTAAACTTGCATGAAAATTACATCGGACAAGAGAAAAATGTCTAAAATCCACTCCTTAACAACTGAGATTTAATTTTGATAATTTTGATCAATTAATAATCAAAATTTCCATGGAGTTTCATATGAAATTCACAAGGTTGCAAAATATTTCAAAAATATAAAAATTATTTTTAGGAACTGAGGTAACCCACACTTAACTGTATAAATTTCCAAAAATTTAACATTACTTTCTCCTCCAGAAAATTATAGAAGTGAATCTCTTTGTTTTCATGTAATTTATAGAGCACACAATCCACCTTCAGCGCTGGGAGCAAATAAGAGCAGAAAAATTAAGTTGACAAATCATTACTTGAGCCATTGATTGCCATTTTTAATCTGCTTCTTGTTTCTTCTTTCTAGGAAACATGATTGTTTAGGACCTAACTTCTGTTGGATTTCAGCCTTGGGCGTCATGAGAGACGTACTAAAAATAATTATCTTGATTGTGACAAAATATCTCATGCACAATTGTATTTTTCAGATCGTTCATACCATTCATGAAACAGAAATATTTAATACGGGAATCTCACAATTTTATTTTTCACTGAAATTCTGCAACTCTACAGGTCCTGCCTGGCGGCTGTGCAAAAACGGAAAATTTCATAATATGTGACATGGTCTAGAAAATCATTCAATCAAGACAAACCGTTGAAAACCTTGTCTATCTGGATCAATGCATACTTACCAGTTGCCTTTGAAAAGTTACATTTTGATAGCAACCAAAAATTCACACTTAACTTAGCATTTTAATATTATATATTCACTTCTTAATTGGTATACTTCATGACATTGTCATTCAGTGCCCTTGAGGTTGAACCTGACGGTTTTGTCAGGTCGCCATCTTTCCTACATTCACTTACAGCTGTAGGAGCATAGTGAGGACCTATTCTGCAGACCGATTATTGAAAATGATGGACAAAGCCATAGATAAAGAAGACAAATGAGGTGTGGAGAGATCCTATTGGTAGAAGCGGGTGGTTGTAATGGACAAAGGAGGTAGGTAATAGACTAACTACCGGCAGCCCACGAGAGACCCGATAGTTAGTCTATCATTTTCTCCCTTAGCCTATAAGAACCACCAATTTCAACCAATAGGATAGCTCCATATTCCGTACGTCTTCCGTGTTTACAGCTTTGTCCATCAATTTCAATAATCAGTCCGCTGGGGGACCAATCAATGGAGGCCACACTAATAGCCATATTTTCTGTATGAAAGAACTCAAAAGGGGACATCTATGAAACAGAATGAGCTAACACTATCACAAAACTAAAGCACTGGCCAACTTACTTTGAAATCAGCAGAATTCCTCCGACGAAAGTCTTGTAGTGATACTTGGGATGCAAGTGAGGAGCAGCCAAATGCAGTGGTCCTGCAGCGGGGAACGAGTAGCGCAGCTGTTGGTTCAATGGAAGGAGATCAATGTCATGCATTGCAATGTAATCGCAAGATTCAGATCCTGATGTGGCGAACAGAAATCCAGCATTGATCAAACTTGCTCTGTTAAACCTGTAGTCGTCTATCTACATCAGAATAAAACATTTTATTAAGTTTAAAACAATGAAGTTGCAGGTGTCTAGGGGCATAGAGGAGTCAAAAATGGAAGGACATGTGGATAGCATTTAGTAAAAAGGACTCAAGGACTCAAAGTGAGGGAACATTATTAAGTGGACAACGTTAGGAAATAGCATTCACTCAGACTTTCTTTTAAAGTTGATGACAAAAATTCCACACATTCATACTTCTTGACAGAAAATTTGCACCTTTTCTGTACATCTGAACTGCTTTAAAGACCAAGCTTTTTTAGTGTATCTGTATAGTCAACACCCTGTAAAACCTGTTCAGAGGGCAATTTGAAATAGAGTGGCCTCATTGTCAGTTCTCTAAGGAACACAACATTTAAATATACTCACTGACACTGAAACTAAAAATGGAACACTAAACGAGGTGAGTTGTAAGCATTATGATATAGCTTTTCTCACTCACCTAAAGTGCCATTTACGTAACAAAAAACAAAGAAAACAACTCCAAACCAAGATATTAGTGTTTTTCAATGAATGAATCCGAACTTCCTGCTCAAAGAAACCTACAATCTATTGAGTTGAATTGCACAAGACAATCTCAGCAGTATGTAGATGAAGCAACCTTGGCGCTTTGGCTCAACTCCATAACCAAAGTGCGGAACCACATATCTTCATTGCAGTGTGTCAGAACTTCTGCTCTTATTTTAATATTTCAAGGAGAAACAAGCCCTTTGTCTGGTTTGAAATGGATGCAAAATACTTTCTATCAGTGAAGAAAAATTGAGAAGATATTCAATACATAATGTTGACTAGTTTTCTAAAGAAAAAATAAAGTATGCCGGGGAGTCTGCTACACCCCAAACAGTCTGTTTAGGATGTAGCAGCAATGTGTAGCAACACGGTTCAACATGTGTTAGAAACGTTGTTTTGCACTTTGGCTATATAACTGTTGTCTCCACATTTGGAACAACATTGGGCAGGAAAGGAACACTGAGCGATTTGCTTCACAGGGACTCCGGCTTTTTGGGGAGCAGGAAATTTTTGGTAACCAGTGCTGAATAAAAATGTTAATATCTTAGTTAAGAGTTACTGCTGGTAATTTCTACTAACTGCGTGAATCATAATATTAAATAAATTTTGAACAGGGAACAGGTATCAGAATGTTTAAATTCGTACCTTGTCTGGTGGTCAAAATGATCAATATAAACTAGTTTATTTTCCCATCAGTATGAGTCCATGCCAAATCAGTTTACGCACTTTTAGACTGCAACAGAAATCTTGCTTCTTGCATTTACTTAACTTATATGTAAAAGAGATGTCGGACTCTCATCTGTCGCAGTCTAGGAGAACATATCCGGCGTGGACTCTATTTCAAACTGTCCATTAAGTCTTTAAGTTTCACAATGAAAGCATCCAAGGACAGAGATTTGAAACATACCTGATTCACAATATAAATTTGATGCCAAACACTCTGGTTATTCAGGAACATCTGCAAGTGTGGAACAAACTCAAGCAATTCATCGAATCTATCTCGAAAAGGGACTATCACTCCAAGTTTGTACAGTGAGTTTTTAGGTCTACGCTGCACCAAATTTCTAGTGCTTTTTCCATCAGTTTCTGAAAGAAAACATACAAGAGCATTACGGCACAAGCACTATTTGTTGTCCCTTACTTGATACGTGAGGAGGCTGAAAGGAATCCTCACCACTCAAGCAGAGCATTTGGTAGTGGACGGAGCTGAAATTGAGTCAAGGGTCAGGGGTCTTGGCGCCTAGTCTGTTTTAAATAGCCAGAACCATCGCTGGACTCCAGCCAAGTGTGGGAACCTGCGCTTTTTATTCGGGCCCCTTCTAATCGGGTGCTTTTCCTGATTATGAGGCCCCTTGTGGTCCAAGACTGGGGCATCACCTTCGAGGTGCTGATACTGCTCTGCTCGTATAGAAGTCTTCCGAAATCTCTATGTGATTCTTTTCTATGGGGCCTCCGAGAGCTCTCTGCAGCATTTATGGTTGGGGATCCCCAACCTCCAACCGGGGCCAGTACACCCCTGAAGGATGCAAGAATACATGAAATAACTGGATAAAGCAAAAGCTGTATAAGTGACGCATGGACATTAGTCAATTGAGTGATCAGAACTCACCAAAAGCGATCAGTAAGCACCAGGAGAAGAAGAAGGTAGTCACAGTTAGGACAATGAGTAACTCGCAGCTTTTAAGTAAACTACGGGACATAATGAGCCAGCTGGCTCAAGAACAGAATCTTTTCACTCATTTAGGGAAACCTTGGTTCATGATTTCAGCACTTCAGCAATCACTCGATGATCACTCCACTCAGTCTCAATGTCAAATCATGATAAAAATAGACTTTTTCTTTCATGTCATCAGAGACAACTGATGAACTGACAACAAATCATCCTCAGGCTTCACCAACAGAAGGTTCACTCCCGTAAACTCCAATGTATCACTGTTTGTACTTTCCGGCTGTCTGCATTGTTGTCAAATGAGTGCAAGATTGCCAACAATTACAATAAAGTGAACGGCGGTTTATTTGAATTGACGCTTCTCAAATGGGAAATCGAATCGGGTTTTGTCGAGTTTAATTATACGCAACGATAATAATTTTAATGAATCAATTGATTTTACTCTCATTAAAATTAATCCATGAAAAAGATTCAACGTGTGTTCATTAATATGGGCTGATTGTGAAATGATGACTTAATAAATTTAAAGCATGTACCAGATTTCAAATTATTTCATATTTCCTTTCTTCACTTATCTTTTTAATTATACGCAACGATAATAATTTTAATGAATCAATTGATTTTACTCTCATTAAAATTAATCCATGAAAAAGATTCAACGTGTGATCATTAATATGGGCTGATTGTGAAATGATGACTTAATAAATTTAAAGCATGTACCAGATTTCAAATTATTTCATATTTCCTTTCTTCACTTATCTTTTTAATTATACGCAACGATAATAATTTTAATGAATCAATTGATTTTACTCTCATTAAAATTAATCCATGAAAAAGATTCAACGTGTGTTCATTAATATGGGCTGATTGTGAAATGATCAGATGAAATGATGACTTAATAAATTTAAAGCATGTACCAGATTTCAAATTCTTTCATATTTCCTATCTTCAATTATCTTTTTAACTCGAAAATTGTTACTTGGACGTTGTTACAAAGCACTATGTTTAATCTTCATGACTATTCATAACAAATTTGAATGAACACTGATGCTCATTTTACCAAAATCAAAGTAGAAGGTACTAAAGGAAACTAAAAAAGCCCTGAAATTGTTAAATTTGTGCATTTCACCCATCAACGTTTCAAGAGTATCGGTAGTCACCTGATTTTAGAAGCAAACAGTGCTTGATGGCATAAGGAGAGTTAGAATACTCCGCCAAAAATTAGCTTACTCTCAATTTTCTCTCTATTAGATCAGGTAGATCTATCTGAAACCTTCGAAACCTTAGAGACAGGTAGGTACTATTATTGAATTCTCCTCAGGATCTGATATTTCTAAGTACATACTTGCCGTTTAGAATTGAAGGAGTAAAGTTGATGTTTTGGAAAAAGAAGTACTTAGGAGAGTGGCGTAAATAAATGATACTTCAAAGGCATTGCTTTTGATGGAAAGTAATTTAATTCTGAATGGAAAAAAATGTACAAACATTTGACTGAATTCTGAACACAAGTAGGTAACAAGAATCAGCATTCTCCTTATCAAAACTAAATTTCAAATGTTACGTCATTCTACTAAGCGGAGAAATGGTATGTTGCTGATGATGGTATCTTGCGGTAGCGTAGAAGTATGGGTTTCATAACCAAGGATGGATTCAGAGGATGGCCCTAGTTCTATGCCGATCTCTCCATTCTGCTGTGAAGATCCATAGCTTGCAGCATCAATAGAACTCGGTGGCTCAATGGTTGCAATCATTGAAGTGGCAGATTTATCCGTGGATGTGACATGAGGTACAGCAGCTCTACGCAGTGTTCGTCGCACATTGTCCGGAAAGTCTGCTTCGGTAAAATGACTTGAGCAAACAACTCTCGACTTTTTGTACAGGGCCAGTAGATCAGATTCAGACTCCCAGTTACTTTGTGGGTAAAGCCAACTTGCCCACTGACGGCATCTGCAACAAAGGAAAGTACACAAGGATTAGTAACGATATGAAAGGTGTAAAAACTGAAAACTTATGATCAAAATTAGAGATCTGGGTTCTATCTAGCATGAAAGGAGTAGTTTGTGGAGGCTACTTGTAATATTGTCAGAAGTAAAGGGAATTTTGCAATAATGTATGTTAATTTGCTTACTACGGGTTTTAAATGCTGTGGGCCCCTTTTGAACATGACCCAGTTCAAGAAAAGAAATAAGTTTGAAATAAGGAATAAGGTATGAAAGTTTGGGGCACAAGCTGTTCATTCTAGAGAACAAGGGAGGCAGAAAGGACAGGTTATACAAGACGAAACTTCATCAGCTGATGAATGTTAATTTGTGCTTCGCACTGTTGCAATTTCTCCATCACGCCCTCTCAAAAATTAGAATTGAAAAGGAAACAATTCTGTAGCAGTGCATATTTTTATGATTCGGGCGCAGCAGTTAAGAAGAAAATCAGCTGATATAAGGCGTATTAATTTTTCCTCTCACGGCATTGCCATATTTCGCCTCCCCAGAAATTAATTCCATTGTGAAAAGATGCTAACTGGGAAAACATGCAGGTCCAACATTTTTAGCTACAGATTAGAAAAACCTCACCAGACCTCATTTTAAAACAAACTGTACAAAGCAATTTTTATACTAGAATTCTCTCTACAAAGTTTGACTAGAATTTTGTCTGGAACTCCAGATTTGAATCTTGCTAAAGTCTGAGTCCCAGTCTCACAACATTATTTAGCAACATCATTCAACATCTCTGAAAACATTAATTAGGTACAAATTAGTATCTCTTTTGACATGATTCCTATTCTGAACTTAAAGTTTCATCTACATTATTAATCACAGTTGCATTGTAGGATGCGATCATAAAGACTGATAAGGAACAACTTTGAGGCATCAGTGGTGACTTTCAACCACCAGAGAAAATAAGTACCTACAGGGCTTGTGCAAGCCATGCGGTGATACACTGGTCCCTTCATAATGAACCCTTAATTCACTAGAGAGAGTCGATTACATCTGGAAAGGTTGAGAGTGATTGACATTTCCCAGGTTAAATTGCCAGAATCTTTATCAGTCAGATGAGGGCTGGATGCTTCATTAATGCATTTCATTCATATTATTTCCTTGTTGAAAAGATTACTAGCCACAAATACTGACAAACTTTGGGAAAGATTGACCTTCAATATGTCAGTCTATTGGAAGGGTCACCTTAAAATATTGTAGATCCAAAAGATTGAAGGGGATTGGCTTTAAAATGAAGCAGCACAGCTACTTACCTATCAGCAATGCACAAAACCATCATTGCCAGGAGCATCATTTCATCAGATAAATTAGTTGTTTAACAGTAGCTGGTTAAGTAATGGATCATTAAGGTGATTCGTCAAGCTCAAGTGGCGTGGTCGGACTGGCATGCGATATATCTCATTAATTAGGTCAAAAGTCTCGGCAGATTTGGAATTTTTAGCCCAAAAAAGGATGAAAACCCCTGCACATTAGCCTAATGAATCATGCTAAACCTAAAAATTGGCAAAATTCAGAGAATGAAGGCAGAATAGTGTTCGGAAAAAAAACCTCGCATTCAATTCAGCTACCGATTTCTGTGTCAAATGCAATGTTTTTTTCCAAACTCTATCCTGCTTTCATTTCTCTGAATTTTGCCAATTTTTAGGTTTAGCATGATTCTTTAGGCTAACGTGCAGAGGCTTACGTCCGTTTTTGTGCTAAAAATTCCAAATCTGCCGAGATTTTTAACCTGATCGATGCAATATATCGCATGCCAGTTCTAGCACGTCACTTGAGCTTGACGAATCATCTTAAGGTTAAAAAACCCAATTGGGAGTGTATTCATCCACTGACAATAGCGTAAGGTTTTTCAGGAACCAAGTTTGAGGAAAATTAATAACATGGTAATCAAATTTAGGTAACACATACCTTAGGGCTTCTCCTCGTCGCAAGAGATACTGGCCCAAAAACGAACTACATCACTTCACATTTTAGGATAACCAACTTAACCACCAAGACAACAGATGAAGAAAACATAACAGCAACTTGAAATTAGAAATTATCAAGATCATAGAACAAAAGAAAAGTTTCGCGTTAATAATTAAACTGTTCGTTCGTCATTTTCAAAAATCCTCATGCTCATTCTCCCAGCACGCACGAGGGAAGGGAGGACAAAGTCAGCAGATTTAGGTTAGGTTCTCAATGTAAACATTACTTTCTGGGTGTGTTCTTCTTCTTCGACCGAGATACGCTGGGAGTGAGCCTTCTGTGGGTGCCACACACGGGAGGGATGAGGCGCCCAAAAGTGAGGCTCTGCTGCGCGCGCAC